ATAAAGGAACACCACTTCATCAAAGTATGTGGAAAGTTTACCCTCAAAGGGTAACTGCCTTCTTAGACGTCCAATGCTGGTCAACGCGCCGAGGTATCGTCCCACTGGGCGACCTCATTCCCGTCCGGAGAGACGGAATAAATCATCGAAGGCTCCTGTCACAACGGCAGTGAAGGCAGCAGCTGTTGGTGCGCTGATGAATACTCCGTATGTTCTGAGTTGAGTTGTGTGTAGATTCCACCACTGAGGACGACTCTGGAGTGAAGAAAGAGAAGCGCCGTGATAGACGCCGTAGAAATTACAGAGGGAGGATAGAGCAAGGTAGAGGTCATTGTGATGTATGTGTAGTTGGGTTCAAATTTGTTGTTGGTTAGGTACAAAAAAGGTCGTTCCTGAAGCCCCGCTAGTCGGTGCGTAGACGTTTTTATTGAGTTTCTCGTTCGGTGTAGATCAAGAGTATCTAATAGTTATTTTTCACTTTGTCCGAGATTGATTTAATGGTGCTTATGTGTGCAGCTGGGTAGTAGTAGTAGTAGGTGCCAGTTGGTCGCTATGGTTCTGGTGGCAATTTCGAATCAATTGTCGCAGTCGAAGACGTGTGTTGTAGAAGAATGATTCTCATGAAGCAACTTCCATTGAGGAGATTTGCGACGCTTGCTGTTGTGTTACTGTAACTTTGTTGATGATGTAGCGCTCGCCTGAGTGATCGATTATGGTTTCATGTCAACGAGCACAACTTGAGGCTAGTTCTCGTTAGGTTAACTTTTAGCTGTGGGGATCTTTTGGTTGAGTGGGGAAGATTTAGGTTAGGTCCGGTAGTGGTCTCGGCTAAGGATTGATCATAATTATTACTAAGTTATGGCAGTAACAGCTCCTATCAAGAAGGCCGCTGAGGCGCCGGTGACTCCTGTGAAGAAAACAACCGCTCCAGTTGAAGTACAGTCGACGGGAGCTACTGAGAAGAAGGAAGAGGTTTCCCCACTTGTGGAGAAGACGACTGACATCCCCACCACACAGGAGGAGACTACAGTGAACCCCTCGAAGAGGTATAGGCGTGTTCAGAGGAATAGGGATGAGAAGGATCCAGTAAGTGTCGATGGTGTGGTATGAATATTAATGATTTATTTCAGGTGGCTCTCGCTCATGAGGTTCGCATTACTGTTTCGGGTGGTGTTGGATTGTTCGTTAAGGAAGGCGTTCGTAAGCTATTGGATGTCACTGAGGGAGTCCCTGAGATTAAAGTCATGGCCAGAGGTGATTCTATTCGAGGTTGGTTAGTGGGGCCAACTTGTGTTCAGGTCCGGCCATTGCTAAAGCTGTGATCGTCTCTGAGATGATTAATCGTATGATTTCTGAGTTGGAGCAGGAGGTAGGCCGTTGTTCAATTCTACGTCATGATAATTTGAATGCGACTTTTGAGTAGAAGTGTGGGAAAATTCAATTAGGATTTCCTTTTTCTTGTGGACGCATGTATATTTCATGCGCTACACCGTCAACCTGATAATGAATTTCCCTGCACTTTATCGATTCTGTCCCTATCGTTGGAATTACTCCCATTCAGGTTGAGCTTGGTTCCTCAGATGTCAGTGACGAATACGTGAGTGTTGACGAGGAGCATGAGGTGAGCTTAGTCATAGTGGTCTAACGAATGTTTTACAGCACATCTGTGCCGCTTCAGACGATTGTTGCGACTCGTATTGTGCCTTTCCTGGTCATTACTATTCGCCATCCTAAAGGATTGATTGACAAGAGTACTGTAAGCAGACGCCCTAGGAGCACGTAAGTGAGGGTGGCCATGTTTCGTCGCATGTCATTGAGTGTGAATCATAGTGTATTGTTCGGTAGTGCGACTATGGAGCAAGCTGAAATCTCACCTGTATAATATCCACGCGATTGTTCACATTCGATCCGATATTCAAGTAAGTAATTTCTCTTTCAGTCGCGTCCCAATCGCCACTAAAGCTGATATTGCGGCGATTCGAGAGAAACAACAGCAGCAACAACCACAGGAAGGTGAATTCAATATGTTTGGTGATGATGAAATATGAGCAGCTCGCTTAGGTACTGAGATTACCTCTAAGAAGAGGACTAGGAGAAACCGTAAGGCGCGTCGTGGAACGCCTAATGCTGATGGTAGAGGACTTTGGTAGTCATTTTTAAATGAATTTATCAATCTCTTCAGTTGCTGAGGGAACCACTAAAAGCGAAGTGAAGGCAGAAGCTCCGAAGTCTGATGTGAAAAAGGGAGTGTCCAAGGTTGATGATGAGGTTCCAGTTGAAAAAGTAGTCGAGAAGAAAGAGAAAGTGACGAAGACTGCCCCTGTGGTGGTTGAAAAAGGTATGACAGCTTAGTGATGGAATTAATGGTCAGTTTGTTTTTGTGTAGAAGCATCGGCGTTTGACGGCGCAGTGAAGCCTCGTTCGAAGTAGTGATAGTATTGAAATAACCGTGGCCGTTGCGGTAGTTTTTCCATAGCAAATACCATTGATGATGGCAGTTGATGTGATTTAGATAGGATAGTGAGGGGCGGCGCCGCGGCTAGGTTGGTTGGAGTACCCATCAGCCCGGTTCGAATCTCTGTAGGGTCTCATATCACCCGCATTTTTCTTACGTCTGTGAAGTCGTATGTTGTTACTCTTATCATAGTGATGAATACTGGTTTATTGACGTTGGCCTGTTGCAAGGTGATCTCGTTCTTGTTGTTTGTATCATCAGCATGGACGTTTTTATTGCATCTACCATAATAGTCGTCAATTTCAGCAAGTCGTCGTTAACTCCGGTTAGACATCCTTTATTCCAAGCACTCGTTTTTCTTTTTGTCCTCGTAAGAGTTTCAAGCTAGAAATTATCATATCGAGTTGAGTCAGTCAATAATTCTCCAACAGTGCTCAATGGTTGAATTGATATGCAACCTATTTAGATGGATGCGTTGGGAAGTAGTTGTAGGGCGAAATTGTGTAGATGGGTTGTTTGGTTTTTATACATTTCTCGTTGAAGTCGTGTAGTGTCATAATGGAGGGAAAGAGGTAAGCAAATATGTACTGGGTGGCTTGCAGTGAGTCAGTCCCTTCCTTTATCGATAGGGGATGGCGCTTGTGGGGTTATTAATCAGCAGTTTGTGTACTCCTCGTCGTCTGGTTTAAAGTGGTGGTTGTGGGTGGATGGGATTGTTAGTCATTTGGCTAATTAAGAAATGAATACAACGAGATTAGGTTATCGACAGGGTATTGCAAAACATATACTTCGAGTTGTAGTAGAGGTATGATATAGGGTAGATGTCGTATTGACGTCGAGAGGACGTTGTCGATGAAACTTCCCCAGTGAAACCTATTTCGCGTATCTACCATCACGCGGCAAGTTAACACGTCCAATGTTCATGTAGTTGAACTAAATCAATTCCCAGATAAAATCAGTCGGCTTCTTTTTACCTCCAGAGGATCACTCAAGCCCGAGGTAGAAACTTACCCTACCTGCCAAATCCATTCATTGCAGTGCCTGAATTCACTGTGTATACAATCACTGTGAATATCAACCTTTGTATGACTACTTGCTTCACAACCACAGGTTTATTAGATTTCCCTTGAAAGAATGCTTACGTTTCTCAGTTCTTCAATTTGACTATTATAATGAACATATACATTGTGAAACACTATTCACATTCACCGTTCAATAGCGACCAGCTTCACGCCCATAGCTACTTTCATCATATCGTCAACTTCGTGTGAAGCATGGTCGAGAACTCCAGCGTAAAAACAACATTTACCGTGCTCTTAAATGTGCTCATAATACATACTGATTTTGCACCTACTGCGACAATAAGAGAAAAATACAAGTCGATACCTCCTGACTGCTGATAATACCTACTGACTCCAATTGAATGAGTCTTCCCTAATAGGGAATCCCTATGTACTATATAATATTACTAGTGCGTTCGTACTAACGAGCGAAGACGTGAGCTATGACTCCTCCTTATTAGAAGTTACACCCGATAGAATTCTACTTGACTGTCACAGAAGGGGGTGAATTTGATACCGACCGATACAACGATCTTGCACTTCTCATTGTTCTACCCTAGAAAGACCACAACTTCCACAAAATCACGTAGGCGGGTACTCGAATGATAACCCTTAGAATCTTCGACTCCCAACAAATTTACAAATCAACTTCACCTTAAACTTGCGCTGAATCTTGCGGTTATAAAGGTTATGACAGATTTACCCCATACGTACTCCTTTCCAACAGTGCAGCAACAATTACGGACCAACACTGAACTATGCAATAGTGATAGCAGTATCACATCACAGGACAACAAGTCGCCACTTACGATGATGATACTACAGCAACACTTGAGCAAATGACAGTGGGTGAGTAGCATAAAAGTAGCAACAAAGTTGAGATAGAGGCTTACAGATCAGCATAGGTAAGCACTACGAGATACCACCACTAGGAGTACATTTTCAACCATTACACATTCACCATTTACTCAATAGTCTTGGCCGACACGATCTTCTCTTGATCGCATGCCTTAATAACGGTGACAATGACAGTTTTACCCTCGTTGAAGTCGTTCTGGACCTGCTGGCCGACCTCATCTAGACCGTTTTCGGTCTTGGGAAGATCCAGATCATCCTTAGTAGTGCCATCACCAGTGAGGAGGGACACAGCACCGGACTCCTCAATGTTCAACAGCTGATACTCAGCACGGACCACGTTGGGAACTTCCATATTGTGGGAAGTAGGACAGATATCTTCATATTTCCTTCCAGTGAAGATGTCAAGTCCAGTGATGTTGGCTTTAGCATGGCCATGCTTACCGGTCTTGGAGGTAGAGATGTCCACAATCTTGCAAGGCTTACCTAATACAAAATAGATAATAAAACACGATAGAGAATGATCATGGACGCACCCTTGAGCATAACAAAGCCGCCCTTACGAAGGGTACCGGCCTGTTGGGGAGCGGTAGCAGAGGCACCAGCATCGGCCTGCTCAAAAGTTGGCTCGTCTTCAGAGGACATGTTTAAGTGACAAGAACACGGAGTAAACAGCACACTCTGCCAGTAATGATGTCTCCAATCTTTGTGACGATATAGCGCAATGTTATCCGCCTTGCCGACTTTTCGCCTAAGAATCGATCGCGCTAACTACAAAAGCGCGCGTCTGGAAATCCTCCGCACGCGGACTAGAACGTGGGTAAATGAACCCCAACTTGCGGGCCTTGAGATGTTCTCTTCCTTACACTACAGCTGATGGGCATTTCTCTCGTGGTTTGTTTGACTTCCTAATTCGAAGATGTTTGATTTCTACAACGTCGTAGTAGCTTTGAAAACTCCTGAGCTCGCTAGGAAAGCAAATGTGCGTTGGACGCTGAAGACTCAGTTCTTGTTCACTTCTAAGTAACTCCCATCATCACATACAAAGGCCCGCTTCCATATGAGTGCGGCCCCACTAGGCGCGGTTTGAGGTCTTGGAAAAAACTGCCCGTCATAGAACCCTTGACAATAGTAGAGGAAGCGACTTGATCGTTGATTTGATCATCAGCTCATCATGTAGAACACCTTCACTTGTGCATACGAAGGTCTGCGGTGCCCTCTTGGTAGCTACGTGTGATGCCGTAAGCTCACCTGATCTGAGTACCGCTACAAGCACAAGTTTTCTGTTCTAATTCGAACCAATCAGCCGTGTACTTGGGCGGCCGGTCCGATGATGTCATGAACGAATTCGAGTGGGAAGTCATGATACATGTCTTGTCGTTCCTGTAAGATGAGAATATAAATTACGTCTGTTATGTTGATGTTGATAATGTGAACGCAACCGTCATGAAAATCAATACTCCTTGTCGTGACAGTCCGGAGTTGAGCAGACTCAGGTTTCAACACACAGGCTTCCAAGCGTTGAACTATTATCATCCTATAGAAAAATAGTAACGACCTTGGAATTTCGAGAGACATAATCGTCACACAACTAGTGTTAAGATTATGCGGGTAAAGAAGTAATGCTACCTTGTAAACATGTAAATTTATCTCACGATGCATACGCCAATCTAGTGATTAGCAATAGCCACAAATCAACGCGGATGATTTATATTTTTCCTGTCCTATTGGGTGTTCTGTCAATACTTTAATTGTGTGAAATCGTGAATAGAGTTGGCTCACGTGGGGGAGTTTGAAACTCGACTAAACTTCGCTCAGGTTTGACGACATAGTGTAGAAGTGTGGGAACTTGTAGTTTTCCTCGTAAAGTTTTCTATCGCCATTAAAACGCGTTGATAGATTACCAATGATAGTGTTAGTGACGTGTCTATCACGTGTATCTTATCCTATGGTACTGTTTACTGAAAAGTCCACCAAACAGGAAACTGTATTACATCAATGAGGTGGAAAGCTGAGGTGAGAGTACTCGATTAGAGTCATCAGAATGCGACAGAGCAGAGATAATGAATCTATAGGTTATGAGAAGTTGTCAACTTCATCGCGTCGATGTTTTTGGAAATCGTCATTCGAACTTCTTGAATCAAGCTATCTCAAAACACACTTAGTGCTAAGACTATCCATTGCCCTATTCAACCGTCGTTTCAAGGTGTTTCCATACCGTCATTAAGAGCGAGTCATTCGAGGAAAACTCGCGTCTTTTTTAGGGGACTATCGAGAAGATCGTTTTTGATAGCCTTTCAGGTCCGACGAAGAGACCTTATCATCGCGTGACGCTGTTGGCAAGATCCTTGTGTTGGGTGGGAGATCACACCGAGATGAGTGGATCTGCCTCGATCTTCTGGAACAGAAATTGCATGCGGGAGAGCGAGGAGTCCTTGCCAAGGACTGGAGACCGAGACATCAACCCTCTTCGTGAGTATCTTTTAGGGATGTCGAAAACGACGAGAAGGTTTATGGGATTTCTGGTAGAAGACGACTATTCACAGAGTGCTCATGGTTTAGGTGCTACTCTTTCGGCAGGGTCTGATTCACGGTTTGATGACGACTTATGAAGGTCTGCAACAATCATATGAACGACGGAGTTCGAGTCATAAAGCGTTACAGGAAAGGGTAAGTGGGGAAGATCACCAGTTGAACTGCGTCATGTGGGGTTGTGCCGTTCCCCATACCTCTCTGAGGTTGACTGCAAATCATCGGTTGCGACTTAGTCCGCCTTCGTGGCAACTAGCGAAAATCGGAAACTTACCTTGAGGTTGCAGTATAACCATTGCTTATTCGCCATCGTTTGCAATAATCCTAGCTTGGAAATTCCCTGCGAAATTCTCTGAGCGAAATGATGTTAAAGTCACGACTAAATCGTATTGTGACAATGTGATAATCAGTGATGTTTCATCACCGACGATTCGTCAACCACATTGTAGTTAATAGCGATCTAGTCGAAAGTTCTCCCTTGCGTTTATGATTCATGGCAGCATTGAATTGTATTATACTAACGCCGCTATGAGTTGTATGGGTTTTTGAACACTATCTTCCCTCTAAAGCCTATGCAACTGGACTAGACTATCGGGGGGGGGGGGGATGCAACCCTTTACGGTGACCCTTTGCTGTCCTTTACGGGCCCCTGCTCTGCCGATGTCTATGAGGGAACTAAGCTCAGTCACTATTCTATAGTGACTATCATGCCATGCGCATGGTTAGGGTCAGTCGATGGAAAAAGCCGTTCTCGGATGCAACCACTTGGACTATGTCCTCGGTGACTGTGGAGTACCGCCAATCAGTGTCCAGAGGGGAGCTGGCTCAGCTCAACCCGGAGTTGCGCTCGAGCACCTGGAACGAGATCAAGTGGCTGGGGATCTGGCTCAGGGCAACCCGGAGTTGAAGCCGAACATCTGAACGAAGATCAAGTGGCTGGGCATCTGAATCACCGACAACTGGGAAGTTCATGCAACAATCGCTATGCGTGCAGGGGCACTTGCAACGATCTTGCGAACATGTGACAGTGATGAAACAGGGCTTGAGGCCCAGTGTGACTGTCGCAGTCTGGAAGACTCACGTACTACCCAGGATGTCGTACGGCTTAGAGATGTGGGGCGCGTTCGCTGCAGGAAAATGGTTAACGGACACTCTTGACAGAGTGGACGCCTCTATGGCGAGAATGATCTTCGGCTGTATCGGGACAACCCCGACAGAGCTTATGTGGAAAATACTGCCGATAACTGATAGACGGAGAAGGATGAGGAGGCTCAATTCGAGACCGATTAGTGACAGCCGTGGGAAATGCCTGTCGATTCACTCGACTCGAGTGGACTTTGTCTACTTCATTCGGTGTGGCAGGTACCTATAGTGTAGGACTGCTACACTGTATGATGCTCATCAAACTGTAAACATCACTATAATATATGGTGTGTAGAGTCGCTGCGACTCTCCTCATGTGAAAGATAGGTATGTTAATGGTTCTCGCGTTGGTAAAAGTGAGCTAATTTGAAATTGGACAGTCTGATTCCTCTAGTATCCGAGTCCGAATCTGGGCAGAAATTCCTACCGAAAATGACCTTCGTCGTAGGAAGCTATACTGGAACTTTTTCTCGTCTTTAGGAGTTCCCAACCGTGCACTGGAACGGTATTCGTATTACGAGTCGTAATTTACGACTACACGGCAGCCAAGCGCAATAAAACCGATAACGAAGTCCTAAACCACTTTTACGATGTGGGTGAGCCTTTATCGACTCGAGGTGTGAAGTCGATGGTCCCCTTTAGTGAGACTACTACAGGAGTTTGGAATTTTCATTGTGGCTGTTACAGATATGTTGTATCTCTGGTGTAGATGGACTTCCGCTATCGAGGTCGTGCACAATCGTCCTGCCGAAGCTCAACGCAAATGGACGAAGTGAGGCCATCGCTGTTCCAGTAGTCATGAAATTGTGTGTTCGTCTGAGAAGATTCAATCCGTCATCTTTAGAATTCGAGTTCTTGAAAGCTAATGGTTCCCATTCAGGTTTTCCGCGAATTAAATTACTCTACGGCTGTGGAGCACAACAAAACCAGATCATGGAGTCTTGAGGCACTTCGACTATGCAATTGAGCAGTGTTCAACTTCAGCATCAAGTGTGGTGCTGGGTGAGTTCAAGCTGTTATAAGAGAAGTCACGTAAGGGAGTCTTTCCGGGACGGAGTCTTTCTAACATCGTGATAGGAAGAAATCTTTTCAAAGCGTTTGCAACGAATATTATGGGAGTATCACTCTCTCTTTGCTATACCCTGGCTTGTTATCTCCCACTTCTAGGAGCAATTCCGCCCGAGTATGGTACATCGTGATTATTTCTAGCGGTATATACTGTCGCGTTCTTGATCCTTGATGCCTCTGAGTGGGAGGCTCCGTCCGTCCCCCAATGTTGTGAGATCACGAGTTGAGGCGTTGAAGTACCTCTGTCATTCTCAGACTGATGAGCGGTCAGCTTAATTTCGACATTTTTGCGGGCGATGTCCGAGAATGATTCTCGAAGATTCGAGAGTACGCTCCGCTTGAAACTTGAGATAATGTGAGGGGAAGGTCTAACGAAGTAGTTCAATGATACAATATCATTGATACTTGCACGATTCGTATCAACATCAATCTCCTTAGGCTTTTCAATAAGCCAATCCTCTCTTTCCCACCAGGCACAAGGTCCTTTTGTTGACAAGGAAAAGGTATTCATGTCTACAATCACAACGCAAAATGCTCGCAAAATTCATGACCGATCGTGGAACGATCAGTTCTGGCTTCACGAGCTTCCGCAAAAAAATCCTTCGCTTCCGAAATCAAAGTACCGCAGCCTGTGGTACTTTGATTTCCCTTTCTCTCCCCAGTTCTGTGATGTCTCATCAAGATGGTCGCGCTGCCATCAGAGTCCATATTCCGCTTTCGCTCAAACGTTGCCGTTGTTGCTCCCTTTGCGGCAGATCTAGCCGGTCTATGATGCCTTCACTTCTCCGCGAGCGTCCCCGGAGGGTCCCTACTCTCAACTATTGCTAGCGCCTTGCTCAAACGTAACTCTGCTGTCAGTAAGCTGCTTCGTCATAAGGAGGTCTTGTATAGGATTGATACTGATGAGTGATACGCTCAGATGTAGCATGTAACTCGTTAA